TTATTTGAGTTTCAAATCAAATTGAGTTAGAAATCTCATTGGAGACTGGGTTCCATTGCATTAAGCTCTGTACAAACACACAGAAAGAGACAATCCTCATCACAGAGAGCTTACAGTCTAAATAGACAAGACAAACACAGTGTGAGAGGCACTGTGATGTGACTTGCCCACGTCACATAGCAGGGCAGTATAGAGCCAGGAATAGACCCCATGTCTCCTGAGTGTGAATTCAGTACCCTACCTGCTGAGATATGCTCTCTCTCACATTACTGGAAATTCAAATAGTGTGTATTGTCTACAGGAGTCCTCCCCTCCCCCCAGCACTCCTTGAGGAAAAGGATCCTCACAGCACACATAGCAATAACAACATGCTAAACATCTCAGCTGACAGAACAGAAAGAGGTGCTGGCATGCCTTATTAATGCCTAAACTAAAACAACATGATCAGCTCAAATACCACTGCACAAAAGTCATAGTATCAAATGGCAAACAGCATCCTACTTACTGTACCTAGAATATACACTGCCTGCTGCATCCAAGCAACTTCATAACATACCGCCAGAACTCTTAAAAATAGTTGTTTAGGGCACCAAACCAAAAGGAAACAATAGCAGAGTTAATCACAGCAGCATCATATCAAAAGAGTGACAGAAAATCAAGCCCTAACAATGTACAACCAGCCATACAGAGCAAACAAACAAAACTAACATGACAGACATCATTATATAAATTAATGAAAAACCAAAAGATTACGTGAACACTGGGGCTCCTCATCACATCTTCAACATCCATTCAAACTTGAAGATTTTGACCAAGATGATGCAGATGAAGCTGGAGATTAATATCCAGCTTCTATGTCTTGTCTAGTGACCATTTTGATTTCAAAGGATTTTTTCCACTGGGGAGAAAAATAAATAGTTTTACTCACCCCCTCATGCTGGTATAAATGTAAGGCAGCAGCGGAGTTACAAAAAAATCACCAAATCACCTTCATTCTCGTATTCAACATTTGGGTCCAAATGATTCACCTCATCACTCCTGGCAACAGCATGTGCCAAAGGGATAGTGAGTCACTTTCTCAAGCGAATCATTAGAATGTGGAGTGAGCTTAACTGGTTGAGGTCATCAGTTTTGCCCTCTTCTTGTTCTGAGTCAGGCTTCCACAGCAGCTCCCTCTTTTTCTATTTCACCTCCTTTTTCAGGTCATTTCAGGTTTAAGAGTCTTTGCAGCTACACGGCTGCCAAGAGTGCTGTTCTGACGTCAGAATATTCTCTGAACGCAATCTATGTTCTAGATTCTTAAAGAGCTTATATGGCCCACATTACTGCAATATCAGAGCACTTCACAATCTTCAATGTATTTATCCTCCCAACACGCCTGTGAGACAGAGAAGTGCTATTATCCTCATTTTGGAACTGAGGCAGAGGAATTAAGTTTACTTATGGTAAAATAAGAAGGCTGTAGTGGAGCAGGGAAATGAACTAGGACTTGGAGACCCAGGTCTCCTGAGTCCCAAGTTATCACCTTAACCACTGATCATCTTTCCTCATTACACTGTTCTCTCTATCCTCTCTCTGTACTGACCATGTTGTCACTGGACAAGATTGAGACAGACATTAACCAGGGCCCTGGCTAATTACAGATATTTGAAGGAGATTGAAAGGCCTGGTTCTGGATCTTTATTAGGTGTTACAGAGTAAGTGGACCATAAAGAACAAGGCTGATCTAGCATTCTTATAACATGGCAATTCAAGTAAGGAAAAGATTGACCAGCAACCCATCAGTGATCAGAAGAACAGTGTGAAAGGGAGTCACTGGGAAGAAAAGTAATGTTGAGTGATGATTCTGAAAATACTATAATAAGGGTGCTGTCTAAAGTATACCAGGAATGTCATATGGTCTATGTGGGAACAACTGATACCAAGAAAGACAGACTTGCTGTGACACTGCTTCACTTCAGGGATCTGGGAAGAGAAGTGAAGAAGGAAGTGCTTCTTGTGCAAGCAAAGAAAGGAGAGGAATGATCACTGAAGACCAGCTGCGTGGTGGGTTGGTAAAGAAGAGAGAAGTGCTAGGAGACAAACATACAGCATCAGAACAACTTCTGTTTTAAAAACCTGTTTGGATTAGATGGTCTACATTTAAATAGAAGGTGAACTCACCACCTAGGTTTAAAGATGGCAAGACTTGTTAATTGGCCTTCAAACCACATGTTTTCAGAAAAAGGAAACTTTTGCCTAACCCAAAAGATCTGGTATGTATTTCCAACATACAAATAAAGCAGAAGATGGGACTGGTTCCTAAAACATCAGGAAGGAAAAGCTAAAATGTCTTTACACAAATGCAAGCTAGATGAGAAAGTAGCCTTACTAATGGACTGATGATATTATCCAGTGCATATAATGGAGATGGTGGGATGATTCTCATAGTTGAAACGTAAATAGAGATATATAAGAAAAGAAGAATAGGCATAGTGCTACTGGTCAGAAATAATTATATTTGAAAAGTTGTGGCCAATTAGGGAGGTATTGGGAGATGGAAGAAAAACAACAAATTTTAAAAAAGGAAAGACTATCAATGATCTATATAACAGGGAGCATGTAACACAATACTGAAATCTGCAGATGAAATTAAATTGGAAGGAGATGCAGATACCAATCAAGACCGGGGAATAATACTACAACAGTGCCTAAAGAGATTAGAAACCTGGGCAGGAAATAACAGAACTAGATGCAACTTCTAAAAATGAAAGGTAATTCATCTGGGGAAAAATAAAATAAAATAATAATAATAATAATAAAAACACAGTTGAATGGGAGAAACCTGGCAAGCAACCATATCGGAAGAGACCTTTAGGCAATAGTGTACAGCAAATTAGATATGAATCTACAATGCACCAAGCACTAAATGGCTGGTCCTGGGGATCAGGTCCATTAGCTCCGGCAGGTAGCTCAGATGTGCATCTCATTCATCTATTATTATGGCTGAGATTTAGGGGGGAAAAAAAAACCATGTTCGTCTGTTGTTCTGTATAAAACTTAGGTCGTCATGGATGATGTGCACAAATTAATATTTTCTGAAACAAACATTATACTAGTGTAGTACAGTTAGAATGGATACATTTCAGGCTTAGTTAAATGCGTCACTGGTTGCTGGTCAATAAAATTGCCTTGCATCACTTTTGACATTAATATGTTACCTCTGGTTTTGTTCTTTGTGTACATATTAAATTACTTCCATATGTTTTCCATATTTAAACAAAACACACCATAGGACTCTTATTGTCATTTTAAACTACTTGGCACATAGGAGAAAGAGTACAATTTCTTTTTTTTTTTATTGTATGAAACATTTTGTACTGTATGGATTGAATGCTGCCCAACCTCTTTATTTGGCTTTGCAGGATTCAACTTTTTCCAACAGGAGGAAATGGCCAACATATGGGAGTTGGTACTGAGATCTGATGGAGCCTTTGCCAGAGTCACTGTGGCATGGTGTTGCTGCTTCCAGTGGGAACATCTAGGAAAGGCTTAGATTTGCCACTGAGAACGAGTAACAGGAGCCACCTCCACTACATGGAGATAACACCTCAGGAGAGAACCATTGCCACCAGAGGAAGACAGTTGAAGATGCCACTGCTATTGGAGGGAGCCACCAGAGTAGTGAGAATAGGGATAGGAATTATGTCGGGGAAGCAGACTTACACAATGATTCTGAGGGGAGGAGCAGAAAGAGGATGAAGTTGAGACTGGGGACAAAGGAGGCTGCTCTGGAGCCATGAACGGCATAGGAGATGGGGGGAGAAAGATTGAGCTGGGAACCAAATGGAACTACAGCCAGGAAAAGGTTGCTGAAGCAGGCAGAGGGAGAGAGGAGGCTGAGCCCTGTAAGATGCTTCAGGCAGCAGCCAGGCAGCCTAGAGGAGAAATGGAGTAAGGGAAGGGGTTGAGGTGAACTAATTTTGACTGTTGGCAAGAAAATGATCTTATTTGTCTGGGTGTAAGGCAATGTGACTGAATTTGTTGGAAACAAGATCAGTGAGTGAAAGGGAAGGGGAATTAATTTTGTGTGGGTGGGAAACTGAGGACAAAGATCATGGGAGAAGGGGGGGGGAAAGAAGACGACAGTGTGACTGAAAATCAGAGTCTGACTGGAAGGTCTGGTTGTCTTTGAGAAAGCCTTCCTCATAAGAGGTGACTGCCCTCTGAAGAGGTTTGAGAACCACTGCTGTATTTTAATCACCCTGAACTTCATAAAGAGAGGACTTGAGACTGAAAAGGAGAATTCAGATAGCAGGCAGAGGCTAGCTTTGTTTCTAAAAGCCAAATCTGGTTTTGTGGGTGCTGACAATACTAATGGCCAAATTCTGTCAGCAGAAATGTATTTGATCGTAACTTTAAACTGCACTTGCAGTCCTTGTGGAGCGTAGAGAGGCCCGGATGGGATTCTGCAGGACCTGGGATCTTTGGATTAAGCTGCAGTAAAGCATTCCTTCTAATTAAGTGTAATTCAGTACAAATAATCTGCCCAGAAACCACTTATTTACCATGCGATCTCAGGTTCTTCTGGAGAACAGTTTTACAGTGAACATGGCGCCTGCCTCTATCATATAAATCATCACACATTAATAAACCCAGTCTGCAAGTACAAAGGACTTCCCCCACACTTGTTCTAATCAAAACACAGCTGCTGCCATAAAGACAATACATGCTTGAATTCCAGCCTATGAGACAACCCCCACACAAAATTCTGTGCACAGCCCATTTGTCAGCATCACAGATAGTTCTCCATTCATAACTATTCTTGCTTTCCATTAGTCAGAGGGTTGCTAGTCACATGTTCAAGCCAACTGCTCTCTAGATCTTGTGACCAGACATCCTGGTTTCCCAGGTTTGCTCCATTTAGAAGTACAGTCCTAGTGCCTATGTTGTACTAATGGAAGTTTTTTCCCCCCAAGTTCACTAAGACCCCATGAGGTTTGGTCCCAAGCACTTACCTACCTGCCCTTTTCTGCCACACTCTTGTTGCTGTGCTCTCCTGCATCTAGGAGAGAGAAGGGCATGGAAGAAAGGACAGAGGAGGGAAATGGGGATGAACAAATAATAAATAAAAAGGGAACATTAAAAAAGGACAAAAGGTAAGAGGAACCTTAGGCCCTGGCCCTGTGTTGAGATCTGTGCTGCCCAATATCTCAGTGTGTCTCAGTGACTTCAGCAGAGCTTTGCTTGGGCTAGGGCTCTATCTGTGCTCACTGCATTGCAGGATCAGGTCCTGTTTTGTAGAATGAAGTGGTGGTGTTTGAAAAGACAGCCGGAAATAAGCTATTTTCTCACAAAGATATTTTCTCTTCATTACAATTTTAAAAGTTCTGGTTTTTTTAAAGTTGGGTTTCCCATTAGAATTTAGAATCCCAAAGCCTTCAAAATTCCACTTGTATTAAGGGAAGTGAATAACATTGAGCTATAAAGACATTCCCTTCCTGCAGGAAAGGTGGAACATTAAGGCTTCATGGTTGTAGATGGCAGAGAGCTTGTAAAAAATGTCACATATTAACCTGCAAAACGTCTTGAATTCTTGAGACACAAACTAAAGTCCATCCTCTTGCTAAGCCCCCAGTCAAAGAAGTGATGTGTAAAGCTTTAACAGCACTGTCTGTGTTGGCTGACCTTGAATGCATGTGAAGTCAGGATGTCTGGAAGTTGTGTACCACCAACAAAACTCTTTCATCTAAGTAAGACCTACCAAAATAAAGGCAAATACTGACCATGTCCATTGATTTGGGATCTACCATTCAAGACAAGTCTTTGGTTGTGCAAACTGACAGTGTTTATAGCTATTCTCAACTAGTTAAATTGGCATAGATCTATTGACTTCAAGGGAGCTTACGCTTATTTGCCCCAGCTGAAGACTTGATGTCTGAATGCCCAGCTAAAGCTGAAGTTGGACAAATATAATAAAACAGTCACAATATTTGTTGAAATAAAAAATTGAATGAGCTTTGCCTATGTTCAGGCACTATGTGTGTTCACTATCCATGAATATTTATGTGCATGGGTTTAGTAGCAGGAATGTTTGTTGAAATAATGAATATGAAGGCATAATCTTAGACAGAAAATGATTAATTGAAAAACATGAGTATTTGCACCATAACTAGATTCCAAAATGATGTTCATTCACTTAGGGAACACAAAAAGCAATAAAGGCAGCAGGAACAGAAACCCTGTGTTTACTCTCCACCTGGTTTGGTCTGTGTGTGCATGCGTGCGCCTGTGTTATGAGGCACAGATGGGAGGAAAATGGAAGGAGTCAGGAAATGCAATTTGCTGTGGGAGTCTGCTCCTCCAAGCCAGTGTGGGAATTAATACTGACCTTGTCAAACTTAATTCTTATGGACTGCCCCTCCACACACAAAGCCTCTGAGGTGGGTGAGTTATGGATAGCTGCTGCTAGGGAGACTGGGACATCATCACTCCATATGGAGCTATACTGCCATAGGAGGATGGGGAAGTAGCACCGAAATACTGAGCCTCTGGCATAAATATCCGGGCTCTCAAAGGATGTTGAAACATGACAGATGAAGAGGTTTGCAATCCATTTGGAGGGGAAGGAAAACCCCAACTCCCAAGGCAGGGGAAAATGAGTGCAAAGAAACACCATGAGTTTGCAATTCAATTTCCTGCTCAGGCAGCTGCTGAGCTCAAAATGACAGCTTGACCTCAGAATATTTGTCACGTAAGGTCCACTCATATGTGACTGGGCTAGTACAATGTCAATACATGGCTTAAATTATTAATTTTTATTTGTTTGCAGTACCACCCAAATGCACTAGGCACTTCGCAGACATTCAAGAAGGGAACACCCTGGCCCCAGGAGTTTACAATCTAAGGACAGACAGAGACATGTCAGGGAAAGGAAACTAAAAAACAGAGTGAGTGAGTGAGTGTAAAAAACCAAGAGTTATTGTGGTGAGATGGAAAGGCCGCAGAGGGAAGAGTCTGAGCACTCGCTGCTCCTAAACGATATTCTTTCTTCAAGTGATGATAGACTGACAGATCTGTATTACGCTCAATATTCCAATCTTCTGCCAGACTGACTCTTCTTCACTCACAGGGGCTTTCCAAGCCTAAAATAATCAGTGATGAAAAGGCAAATTACTGCACCTTCCTTGTCACACACACTTAAAAAAATAAGCTCAAAAAGCTACCTTTTGTACAGATATTGTTTTCTGCTCAACATTTCACAGTATAATGAGGATTATAGTTAGTTCTGGGGAGTAAACAGAAAGCTACAATATATGCTGCTATAAATGAGAAATCCCATCGTTTCTGGAAATTCTGTGGTTTTCTGCAAAAAGGGGAATTTAAATTATAGGCATATTATTGTATGTGAACTCCAGTAAGCTCACTTATAAACATAAAAGTTACAACTAACAGTTTCCATTACTTCCTCTCAAAATTCTACCAGAACCAAGCTAGTCAAAATTTGGATTCGGGGAGGGGTGACAAACAAAACACTTCTGAAATGTATTAGAGCACACAAAGAAAGTAAGAATCTAACTACAGGATGATCAGTCAGGATTTAAATCTACGTTTTGTGAGAGCTCTAGATGACTCAAACCTACTGAGCCTTTCTCTACCTTTCTCAGTAGCTTTGCTTAAACATACAAATAGCTTTTCTGTGGCTCTTGTGCTGAACTAGATTGGATAAAGGTTACTCACTGTTTTACACTTTAGATTGTGATTGACAGCTTGGCAGGCTTTCAATATCAGCCTAGAAGCATTCAGCAATTACAAGCTGTACTGTATAATGGGGAACGTGCTGTGTGTACATAGAGTGCTCTGGCTGCATATCGTCCCCTGGCCAAGAGCTAATGAGATTTTTTTCCCTTGTGGTTTTCACCAAGAGTAGAGACATCCTCGGCACTGCTTCCCATCGACCTCGCTCCTGAAACAAAATATTACATAACTGTAAACTGCAGCTCAGCAAACAGTCATGAAGGGCCCCTTCTCCCTCTGACACTAACTGCACACAAGTGCAATGGGTAATTTGATCATGAGAGATTCCAGGAAAGGTGTGCACATTCTCACATTGCTTGCAATGTTTTTTGCTGTTTTAATGTAAATGACATTGCTTCTGCTGATGCACAGGGTTGGTGGGTGGGCTTTTGTTTTTGTTTTGCTTTCCAAAAAGAGGACAGTGCTGGCAACTGCTGCTCCTTAGCCTGATCAAAAGCTAGTGAAAATGATGAAAGTGAGAGATAGAAAGGAATAGCTCAGCTCCTTTAGCAGGCTCAAGCACAAGTTGGGTTTTTGATCTTCTTTGCTTTAATTTGTCTCCATGTCACTGCAGACAAAACAGGATAAAGGCCCTGATGCTGCAAGTTATTTAAACACACACCTACTTTTAGCATAGCTCCATTGACTTCAACTTGCAATCGTCCTTGGGATTACTCACATGCTTAGCACATGCTCAAGTACCTTGCTGAATCAGGGCCAAAGTGTGTAAAGCTAATGTCAAGTCTAGCATTAGAATGTATTAAACTCCATTATTCTTAAAAGCGTTACCTTGAGAGTGAAGTCTGAAGCAGATCTAAAGGGAGCAGAACACAGACCCTCAGAGGATTTTTCAGATATCCTAAAAGGCTAATAGTAAGGTAGATGCACTAGGGGATCTCTTTTTACCTGCTTTGAGGCTACAGCAAGGACATCATTCAGCACTGAATGGTTCATTCAGGGACCAGGTTCACTCTATTGTGCAGGCAGAACAGGTAGACAACTAGAGCTGCAAAATGCTAGGGAAGCAACAGGTTACTAATGATTATTGATTGGAGTGACTGCACTGCTAGCATTTCCCACTGAAACCATTTACAACTGGCACCCTAAAAATTCTGAGCCCTCTGAGGGCAGATTTCCATGTGCTCAGCACTCACTATTGAGATCTTGAATCCCATTTAGGCATTTAAATAAGAGTCCGACCTTCAAAAAAAAATTTTTGTTCAAACTGCTGAGCTCTTTTGAAAAATCTTGCAATTAGCGATGTCCTTTCTGCTGCAGGAAAGGAGAACCAAAGATGACCTATTCCCAACTGTGCTGGTATTTTTAAAATTATTATTGTATTAGCTAGCCTTCTGATGTTACTCTGGACTTCTTATGAGAAGAGCCTGCAATTCCGGTCCTTGAAAAACACAGCCAGTGGTTAGTTGGAGGATCCCTGGTAATTGTTTTGTTTTCAGGACAAAAAGTTGCTTGAGAAGCTGAGGCTGTATCCTGTATGAACGGATCTTAAATCAAGGACTGGGCTGAACGGTAGGACAATACACTACTACATAAAATGAAAAGGTGGACAATATAGGTTGGAGTCATAAGATATAGGTACAGAGGATTTTGATACACTGAATCAGGTCACAAATCCATTTTCTCTCATTCTGCCTCTAAAAGTGGCCAAATACCTGAAAATTCAGAGTAAGGCAAAAGTCCTCCATGCAAGGAAAACAACAAGCAGGCTCCAAGCTAAAAACGTAAGCAAGGAAAATGATTCCTTCTTGATCACTGGGGTAGTCAGTTTATTTATTGAAGTACTATATTGGATTCTCCTTACTTGTATCTTGTTGCTTGTTACATACTTCATTACTAGTCAAAATGATCAACTCCCTTTTAAAATTCAGCCACATTACAATACAGCTACAGCAGATATGTATTTCTGATCTGACATATTCTAAATTCTCTCTCCTTTGCTTCTAATTTTTTTCAACTATTTAAAATTTATTAATCTGGTTCCTTTGTAAACAGTAATTTTTAATTAATTAAACATGTTATTTGTATTACACTAGCAACTGGAGGCCACAACGAGAGATCAGGACCCTATTATGTTACCTACTGTACAAAGAGCCCTAAAGAGAGTTTACAGTTGTGGTTAGCAACAAGGAAGCGTAGGTGGATGAAACAAGCACGTGAGGGAAGGGGAAGGCTAAATTATCAATGTTACTCACAAATTGAGACCTCTTAGTCTATGACATACTAGGTTTGGTTTGTTAGTCTGTAGTCTAACTGAGCTGTAACAATGACTCATGCCCATTTAAGACAATGGTTAGCAACCAGCTTGTGTTCTAACTCCTACATTTGTCCCTGTTTTGCTTGTCAGTTTCTCATAAATTCTTGAACACAAACAGGAGTTAGATAGAAGTTAATTGTCTCTGCCGATTTATCATGACCTGGCCCCTCCTCAGCTTGACCCTTGTTTGTATGGCAATGTAAAGAAAAACATGGTACTTAGAACAATCCTCACCTGACCCCTATATCTAAACAACCATGTACTTTGGGAGAGTGTAGGTGTTGAAGTGTTGAGTTTATAATATATTATACATGTATATTAATACACACACACAAACCGTGGTCAAAATGTACAGATTTGGGTTAGGCACCTAAATCCTTAGGGGTGTACACACACACACCAAAGTCTGCTGAGTGTCTGAAGCGCACACAGAACAAAGTTTGAGACCTTCACTGCTGGAACTTTGACTAGGTCAGGGCTCAGTTCTGGATACATGGAGGGGACTCCAGAGAGAGAGAGAGAGAGAGAGAGAGTGTGATCCTGAATACAGAAGGAAGAGTCAGGACTTAAAAGACAAGGGTTGAGATTTTCTTTCCTCTTCTCTGAAGAGGCCATCCAAAGAAATAAAACACAAGAAATATATATAAATGAAACATTAACATCCATCACAATATAAATACCAGAAAGTTAGGAAATGCACAAGTTAAGGGCAAGCTTAATAAATTCCTATTGCCCTCATGTTTCTAGTACTATGCAACTGAGACTGTTTAATGCAAAACCTTTATGTACAGTATAGCACACAAAATGTGGGCACTTTAACTTTTGGATTCCTTGCTAATTAAGAAAAAAAAAGGCAAACCCACCCCTGCTGGAATGGGAGGTGACAGCACACACTGCTGTCTTAGGACTCTAATAACTCTTGAGATGCCCCAGTCCACAAGGATGGCCTGTGTCCCATAACAAGTGATGAGCCAAGTCTGAAGCACAAACATCAGTGTCAATTATTCTATCTTGTAAGGAAGAAGTAATGAGAGAATAACTCCTTGCTGCCTTCAACTGCCTCCCACCATCCCCACAGTTCTCCATCCATCATTGGAAGACTCTTCTTGATGAGATACCTTTTAGAATGGAATTTTCCACCTCTCTCCATCCCACCCACCCCTTGTACAACAGTTGTCTCATCTCACTACTAATCCTAATGTCGTTGGCTCCAGGCATGTGCTAATAAGAAATGAATAACTCTGAGGACAAGACAGCTCAAAAGACACATTTTAACCCCCCTGCCCCCCACCCAAAAAAACCCCCACACACTTTCAGGAAAGGAGAGCACATGGGAAGGGGACTCTAAGCATGTGAAAGAGCAGAGAGGAAGGGTCCAGGAACTGCAGTAAAATCAGAGTGAAAAGGTAGGGGACAATATAAATACCAGCTGGGCAGACATCGGATTATTTAAGGGGTCAATAGAGGAAATCTGTGGCAAGTGTTTAGTAGCATATGCACTTGCAATGCAGACTGGCTGTGAGGAAGCAATGCAAGGTGGTCAGGAGAAATGAGAATGACCTGTGTAGATGAAGGAGACCGTGTTAGAATAGTTAGAACTAAGGCTTATTACAAGAGTTGGGATCTCTATGCCACTGCCTCAGCTGTGTTACCAAGTCACTTCTGCTCTCTGTGTCTCAGTTTCCCCATATGTGTGAAATGGGGATAACACCTATCTGCCTCTGTAAAGCACTTTGAATTTCTTGGATGAAAAAGCACTAGATAAGTGCAAAGCATTATGGGTAAATCTAAAACACTGCTATGGAGGAATTTCTAGAGACAACACCCTTGACTAGTACTCCTCACAATACCCTCCATTTGACTTGCAAGTTCTTAACTTCTTTTTCAAGATAACCATTTGTTAGCTATATTACAGTAATGGCTACTAAAATCTCAATATTCCCTGCTCCAAGTATCTGCAGAAACTACGGTATCTTCCTACATTTAGGAGAGGATAAATAATAGTACCTTAATCAATGCGGAGAGTTACAACTGTAGAATTTTAACTGGTCCTGCTGTGAAAACCTGTAGCACTCAGAGTCAGCAAGTTCCACCATGAACATCTAGCACCCATTTTCATTCAATGAACTGGGTTTGCAGAAACAACTTTGCTTGGAGTAGAATTCTAAAGTGTCAGAAACATAATGGGATCATTAAAGCTTCAAAGGATTAAGAGGGAGAGATATTTAGTGTGGGGAACAGTGCTGAGGACAGACCAAATTCAGCAATGTAATGACTAGAAAACTAAAACTTCTCAAATATCTTGCGTACAATAATACATGTTCCTGAATCCTCAGATGGTTATATGTTTGCTATTTTAAGTAATATCAACAATTACACAGCAGAAGAAAGATTTATCATGCTACTTTTGTGTTCAGTGGTACCAGAATTACGTATTTACCCCAGAAGCAAGATAAAATTTCCCCTACAGAGATTCCTGAAAAGAGGTTTAACCATGACTCACTTTGGAGTCAGCTTGCTGTGATATTACCAGGTGCATAAATATTAAGGACAAAAACCTCTCTTCAGATGGGTGACGGAACACCTGGGAATACCTGGAGAATGAATAGGGATTCCAGTTCCGCTGTTCAAGTTCATTCCCTTTGTATAATGAGAGTATGGAAGCTAAGAAAACCAGAGCAGCATCTATAATAACTGCAACATGTCACATGCTACATTGTTTAAACACCAAGTACCAGAGAAATAAGATCCAAGTCTAAAAGTTTGGATCCAGATCTCAACTTTCCCAAAGTTTACGAGGCATTCAGACCCTAAGTTTTGGTTCTGGTACATCTTTGGTAAAATACAAGATTTGCTCTGCACCAACTCCTGTTGTTGACACCGACATAAAGGTGAGGAGGTGAAAATAGAGATATGAACCAAAAATGTGCAGCTGCTCACTTATTAGTTATTGGTATCATAGTACCACCTACAGGCCCCAGTCGAGACAAGGGAACCCTTGTGCTAGGCCCTGTATGTATACATGGTATGCATCTCTTTGCCCCAAAAGAGCTTACAAAGGGAGAGAAAGGAAGTACTACTCTCCCCATTTTACAGATGGGAAACTGAGGCATTCTTTCATCAGAAAATGCCAGGTTGTCAAAATGATTCTCTGGTCCAGGACAGAATTTTTGGTCAAAACCAGAGAGCCACAGAAACACCCAACCCAAAACAGCCAATAGCCTGGTTAGGAAACACACCTAGACTGTGGGAAACCCAAGTTCAAGTCCCTTCTCTGCCTGATTCAGAGCATGGACTTGAACTTACGTCTCTGACATCCCAAGCAAGTGCCCTAACAACTGGGATACAGAATCAATCTCTCTTTTTTGTTTTGGAGCAGTTCCACTTTATATAAATTATTGAATATTAATTGAGCTAGAAAAGTGAGTATCCTAACCACCAGGCTACTGGATATTCTGGAGGGCATTTCTCTCTCGTTTTTTCATGAAAACTTTCAAAAGGTCTCATTTTCATTCCACCACAGAACAAAAACAAATTCTGAAACCTCAAAATTTTTCTTGAAACAGAATTCTTGTTTTCCAGCCAGCCTCACTAGCCACAGAACTGGAGTCAAACCATATTGGCTAGAAGCATATTTAAATGTGATTGTTGCTAGCAGGGCTCTATCTGGGGCCATGTTATTTATTTATTAAGGAAAACCATAATAGCAAAACAATGCTATAGGCTAGCCTCCTATATAGTATGTAGTGTGTTTTTGAACATGGCTCCATGGTTCCAATTCTCAGACAAAAAATCCAGTGTACTCTGGTTAGGGATGCCATGAGAGAACTCTGCTAGTCCTCTCCTGTGTTTCAACAAGCTTAGAGCTAGCACAGTTCTGATCCCAATGTGGACAGGCCATGACAAACTACAGTTGCTCTTTAAGAGCATGATATACAGGATCCATGCAAACTTTAAAGACATTCAGGTCTGCTTCTCATCTTCCACTCATCACTTTCCTACAATGCAAACCACAAGGCTACTCTGAAGTCCTAAAAAAAGAGAGATTGGAAGGAAAACAGAACAAAAGGACAATGTTTTTTAAAAATGTACAAAGACAATTTCTGCCTCGTAGATGGTTATTGGCAAAGCTATGATCTGATTTTATTATAGGAGAACTAGAATGTAAAAGTTTCGTATTTATTTTTACAGCATTTGCTAATCTAAATTAATATTTGACACCACTGCCAGTATTTTAATCAATGCAAACTGTATCATATTTCATTACTGCTTAACTGTAGCAGGAACAATATACAGTTTTTCATATATGCACCATAAATATGACTGAAGGATATAGCAAGTAGACATCTACAACTCCAAACTTCACCATTGGAGAGGGTTCAGAGAAAAGCAACGAGAATGATTAAAGGATTGGAAAACGCCTTAAAAGTGATATACTGAAGGAGCACAATCTGTTTAGATGAACAAAGAGAAAGTTATGGGTTGACTTGATCACGGCTTATTGGTACCTACCCGGGGAACAAAAATTCGATAATAGAGGGCTCTTCAATCTAGCAAACAAAGGCACAGCAAGATTCAATGGCTGGACGTTGAAGATAGACTAATTCCGTCTAGAAATAAGGTTCACATTTTTAACAATGAGGGCAATTAACCTTTGGAACAGTTTACTAAGTATTAACGCAGGTTTCTCCCTGACCATAAATTTTTAAATCAAGATGGGAATTTTTCTAAAAGCTATGCTCTAGTTCAAGCACATCAGGTGGACTTGAGGCAGGAATTAATTCATGGAGTCAGATGGCCTGTGTTATACAAGAGGTTAGACTAGACAATTACTATAATCCCTGCTGGCCTTAAAATCTATTAATCTAACCCCCCCACCACGCCATTTCTTCATCACAAGTTGGTTTTGGACTATATTTGTGTGAATGAAAATTCAGGTATTTTTTTCTAATTAACATCCTGTGATAGGGACTCAGTCAAGAGCGGTGGAATTAAGGTGTCTGGGGAGGAGATGATCTATGTTTCTGCCCCCGCATCTAGAAACACCCCCTGCTCAGCTTTGCTTCCCCTCCAACTCCACCCCATGCCACCTAGCTCCAGTTACTGTCTTCCCATTGGCTGATTGGGAGCTGAGAGACCAACAGATTCTGGTCAGGTCTCAGTCCAGCAGTGGGAAGGGGCAAGGACCACCTTTGCTAATTGGCAGGCAGTAATTGTGGCAATTATGGAGGGTGGAGGTGAGAGCGAGACCGGGAGGGGCAGGAGCAGCTACCACAGCACCCGGAGAGCAGGTAGGAGCTGGAGTGATTGCTCCCTCATTCAAGGTGCAGCTTTGCAGCCTCTCGGTTCAGTGGGTGGCACTCTTCACTAGTGCTGGTCCATTGCCAAAGGTTTGCTGTTAAAGCACTGGACTATTGGAAGTGCTTTAACTTATAGTCATCTATAATCCAATGGCACTTATTGCAAGAGTAGGGATGTAAACCCTAGCGTCGACCAAATTCCAGCCCTGGTAATTACAAATCTTCTGCCTATCTAAATGGCTTCCAAAACTTCATTTAGATACAGTATTATTCACATTCGGTCCTAAACTTTTGTATGGTGTTGTGCCAGGTTTCCTCTTAGAGGTGGCTGTATTTCAACTGTGAAGTGAGGCTTCTGTATATGAGTTTGCATAATCTTTTGACATGAAACCTAAGATCAGCTCTTATAATCAATAATGATGATGATAATCCTTTAGTACTGATGATGACTAAATGTTTGTTCCTTGCTGTCTGAGCAAATCTAGCTAGAGATTATGGGCATGTGAATACATAACTGACCTCTGGATGAATAAGAAGAAGGTTGACACAAATGGTAACTTTTTCAGTTCTGTGAACTTAAAAGAGTCTTGAAAAAGCTTGTACCCCGTTGTAACCATGAACACTCAAAAAATGCAAATCAAAGTTTACAGATATTCCCCCTATTGTTCCAGACTTCTGAAACCAAGATAATGGAAGATTTCTTACCCATAATCTGCTTTCTGCTACCAGCGTCTCCCACAATACTGAGACATCTGGGCTGCTCCTCTACACACTGCAGCTCACAGAGGTGGTCCAAAGATGCAAAACTGTGTGCACTGGCCACGCATCCCTGTTCCTTCTTGCTGCCAGCTGAGTCATTCCCAAACTGTGTAAAACTCACAGAAGGATATCAGTAACTATGTACTATGTATAATAATTGGCATATAGCCTGCATCTTTATGATACAACACAAAGAAAATATTTGACCCTTTGGCATAATGCCATCCAGCATGGGTAGAATCGAGGAAGGCACTGCTAGCGGAAAGGAGATTATTGGTGAGAAATCTTCCTTTCTGCATCCCAGCATCTCCAAAACAGACACATCTGGGAAGCAGTGAGCAGTGAACAGAGATCTGGAATATAAGGTAAGAAATCCAGAAATAAGATAGGTTTCAGAGTAACAGCCGTGTTAGTCTGTATTCGCAAAAAGAAAAGGAGTACTTGTGGCACCTTAGAGACTAACCAATTTATTTGAGCATAAGCTTTCGTGAGTTACAGCTCACTTCATTAGATGCATACTGTGGAAAGTACAGAAGATCTTTTTTTACACGCAAACCATGAAAACATGGGTGTTTACCACTACAAAAGGTTTTCTCTCCCCCCACCCCACTCTCCTGCTGGTAACAGCGTATCTAAAGTGATCACTCTCCTTACAATGTGTATGATAATCAAGTTGGGCCATTTCCAGCACAAATCCACGTTTTCTCCCCCCCCCTTCCTCCCCCACCCCACACAAACCCACTCTCCTGTTGGTAATAGCTTATCTAAAGTGATCACTCTCCTTACAATCTGTATGATAATCAAGGTGGGCCATTTCCAGCACAAATCCAGGGTTTAACAAGAACATCGGGGGGGGGGGGTAGGAAAAAACAAGGGGAAACAGGTTACCTTGCATAATGACTTAGCCACTCCCAGTTTCTATTCAAGCTTAAGTTAATTGTATCCAATTTGCAAATGAATTCCAATTCAACTGTCTCTCGCTGAAGTCTGGTTTTGAAGTTTTTCTGTTGTAATATCGCAACTTTCATGTCTGTAATCGCGTGACCAGAGAGATTGGAGTGTTCTCCGACTGGTTTATGACTGTTATAATTCTTGACATCTGATT